GACTTACAGTTGCCATGTTATTTACCTGTTGTGGGGATCGAACTACAGCAACCTGAGGCTGACAGCTTTGTGGAAGCAGCCACTTAAACAACTGAGCTAAGGCCAGGCCCCCCAAAGTTCTTAAATGGCTCCAGCAAAGCTTGTTTTAATGTTTAGATCACTGAGCCATTTTTGTTTTAATTTAGTATATAGTAAGAGAGAATAGTCTAATTTCGATCTTCTTCAAATAGTTAACCATTTTTCCTAGCTGCACTTGTTGAATAGACTGTTTTTCCATAAACTTACACTTTTGGTTCCTTTGTCAAAGATTAAGTAGCTCAATGTGTCTGGGGAAGTTTCTGGATCTTCTAGTCTGTCCCATTGATCTGTGTGTGTGTGTGTTTTCCACCAGGACCATGCTGTTTTTATCACTATTGCTTTATAGTATTGCTTGAAGTCAGGCATCATATTTCTGTGCCTCCAGGTTTGCTCTTTCGGTCAAAGATTGCTTTTTCAATTATATATATATATATATATATATATATATATATATATATTTTTTTTTTTTAATGAGTTTGGTTGTTGCAGGGTCTCACTATGCAGCTCAGACTCTTGGTGATCCTCCTGCTTTCAGCCTCTCCAGCGCTGGGATTATAGGCATGTGCCACCATGCCCGAACTCTGGCTGGCTCATCCTGCCCTGGGGCTGGGCTGGCAAGGCACGTGGTGCTGGGGATCGAACCATAGTCCCTGCAAGTTGCCTAAGCTTGCCTCAGCAGGTGTTTTAGTCTGCTGAGCTATCTCACTGGCCCCCTCAATGATATTTTTAACATATAGACTATCATGCTATGACTATACCATATAATATAGTTCTTGTCATAATTTTTTTTGGGTACTAGGCTATGTACAATTTTTCACTACATTTAAATAGATGGTATAATGGATACTCTTATATGTGAATTTTTAGCAAATATTTCCATATTAGAATAAATTCCTACCAGTGGTTTTATTTATTTATTTATTTATTTTATTTTTTATTTTTTTTCCTACCAGTGGTTTTAAAAGTGCGCATCAGTGGTAGAACACTTGCCTGATATGTATAAGGCTCTGGGCTTAATCTCTACCACTGGGGGGGAAATATGCATTTTAAGGATTCAGTTACAGATTGCTAAAAAGTATAATTTGTGTATCCTTCAGCATTTTATAATATTGTCCAACATCCTATAATTGCCAAATTTATGAAGAAAATAACTGCCTTTCATTGTAGTTTTAGTATATATGGTTGGACCCCAGAATTCCACATATTCTCCATTCATCTTCTTTGACTATTTTCCTACTTTTTTTAGGCGCTGGGGATTGAACTGTCTTGTGCATACTAGACAAAGGTTCTACTACTGAGCTATACCCCTAGCCCAACTTTTCCTATTTTTATATCTTATTTTAAATAATTCTTTTTAAGACTAGTAAGCAAAACCCTTTGCATATGATACATGTTGTCAATGTTTTTCTGATTTGTAATACACTTTTCACTGTTTTCTAATCTAGCTAATTTTGATATGATAAGAGTCCTCTCAACTAAGCAGATCTTAGAAGAAAGTATCATTGCAGATAGATCACTGTAGTCACCTTGGTTGGCTTCGTTTCTTATGTTTTTATTTCATGCCCTTTTGTTTCTGTGCTCATTTCTGTGAGATTCATATTTGTATCAAGAACAGTAAGTGCCTACCACATACTGTATTAGGTACTGTGCTAGACATCCCACTGGATGTTATCCTTTAGTAACTCTAATAGGTATTATTTTCATTTTATAAGATGAGGAAATTAAGAATCATTCAAGTTATATGTCACAGGGCTGGGGAGATACCTCAGTGGTACAATGTGTACTTAACATGAACAAGGCCCTACATTTGACCCCCAGACCCCCAAAAAGAAAAAAAATCTTTTCTTTCCTGTTTTTTCTTGACCCCCAACTTGCATCTTTTGATGTCATCTCCATCGCTTCCATGGCAATTGTACTCTTAACTGCTGTTTATCTCAAAAGCTTCAGGATTCTCTTGGTTTTCTTTTTTTCTCCCTCCAAATCCAATCTATGAGAAAACTGCATGAGATCATTATCTTCACCTCCATCTCCCTGGCGTAAGGCACTGTCTTGCTTATGGATTATTCTGATAGTTTCCTAACTAGTCTCTGTGCCCAGCTCTTGCCGTGTATTGTCTATTCTTAATCCAACAGTAAAAGTGGTCTGTGCCAGTCAACTTTTCATTACTGTAACAAAATATCACAGATGCTCAGTTTGTAAGGAGGGGGGCTTTTTGGGCTGTTTTGGAGGTTTCAGCATATGGCTGATGGATGGCTTGTGTATAGGTCTATAGGGAGGCATTATATCACAGTGGGAGCTTGTGGGAGAGGAAACTTTCACCTCATGGCTGAGGTGAGAGAGTGAAAGAAGAGGGGGTCTGTCTGGGTCTCAATATCCCCTAATAGGGCATGCCCCCCATCCTTCCGGACTTCCAACTAAGCCCTATGTTTTAAAGGTTTCACAACCTCAATAAAACCACTTCTCAGGGACCAAACCTCTAAACACATGGGCCTTGGATTCTTATCCAAACCACAGCAGACATCGAGTGTCAGAGATGTCACTTATATACATAAAACCCTTAATGGCTCCCAACTCACCAGAGCAAAAGCCTCACCTGACCTGCAACACTCTCACCTCTTACATCTGATGTTATATTTGTATCAAGAACTAACAGTAAGTGCCTACCACATAGTGAATTAGGTAGTGTGCTAGACATTCCACTGGGTTAATTCATGTTATCTTTTAGTAACCTAATAGGTATTATTTTCATTTTATAAGATGAGGAAATTGAGAATCATTCAAGTTAGATGTCATAGTTCCATTCTTCTACCTACTCTTGGTTGTTCCTAGCACACATAAGTGTATTTCTGTCTCAGGGACTTGAATGTTTCCTGCCCAGATACTTTTTTTTTTTTTTTTTTTTGAGACAGGATCTCACTGTGCAGTTCAGGCTGGGCTTGGACTCACTATGTAGCCCAGGAGCTTGAACTACAATTCTCCTGCTTTAGCCTCCCTAGTGATGGGATTACAGGGATGTGTTGCACACCTGGCCTGCTCGGATACCTTGCCCTGTAATCTCCCTCAGATCTTTCTCTTTAAAAGAGTATCCTTCATACCGCTTCTGTTCCTCTCTTGGCTTAATTTTTCTCCACAGTACATCTCTCTTTGGGGGTTGCTGGGGGCCTCCTTCATGCTATCCAAGTGTTCTTAGGCCGCTGAGCTACATTCCAAGCTCTGGGACATTTCTAATCATCTGGCGGTTCACTTATTTTCCCTATTTAACAACTGCCCCTCTGTCTGGAAGAAATCTGCATGAAGGCTACGATTCTTATAGTTTTTTTTCTTTTTCTCATTGTATTCCCAATAACGCAGTAGATATACGTTGAATGAATGCGTGATACCTCCACATTCCAATTGTCAAAGTGGGGTAAGGCGACATGCTGCCCAGAAATTCCACCTGATTCCTCCTGGGGTTCTACTTCCTTCAGCCTTTCCCACTTTATACCTGGGAATTGCTCCTCCACCGCACTTATCACAGGTGAAAGCTGGTGAATCTGGAGAAATGCTCCCGGTGCATTTGTCCTGCGTCCCTATTGCCACCCACAAGCACGGAGGTGGTTGGTGGCCAGCTGTCCTAGGAAGCGTGAAATCCGCTTATGAGTGGCTGTGAGGGAGAACCAAAAGGAGATGCAGCTCACGTTGGTTCTCTCCGGGGGGTCCATTCATCCGGAATGAGGCGGGACAGCGCCTTCACGGGAAGACTTGGTGAGGAGCCCGCGGGCGACGCAACTGGATCGGGAGCCCCACGCACACCCGCTCAGCTCGCGGCTACAGCAGGGCCGGGGGAACGCGGGCAGCGCCTCCCCTCGGGTTTCGGGTTCCTCCTGGAGGCTCGGGGCGGGCTGCAGGCCGCCACATCCAGGATGCGAGGCGCGGTCCACGCTCGGGACACAAGTTCCTCAGCCCCACTGACCAGCCCGTGAGGCCGACATCGGCCTTAAAAACCACTTCGGGGGTCTTTTATTTTCTTTATTACTTATTCATTTTGGCGCCCCAAGAAGAGGCCAAGTTCTGGCGAGTGTCAAACTCCCAAGGGAGAGGCGTCAAGCGTCGAGTCCAGGTTCAAGTTTCGGTAGAAACTTTCTCTCCGAGGCTCCGCCCCCGTCACCTTGGAAACCCGAGAGCGCCCTAGCGCGCCGCCCGCGTCCTCAGCGCACCTGGCGGCCGCGCCGCGCGAGACGAGGCGGGGGCGGAGCCTGGAGCGGGGCGGGGCCCGCGAGCGCGGCCCTGGGCAGGCCGGCAGGTTGGGCCCCGCCCCTGGCCGCAGCCCCGCCCGCGCTCGGGAGGGCGCGGGAGGGGGGGCGGGACCAAGCGCAGGACCCGGCGCCTTGCCACAGCTGACGCACCGTCGGGGAGCCGCGCTCCGAGCTTTCCTCGCCTTCTGCGTGCTCCTGGGTGCTGCTGGGCCTGGACCCGGCCCGGACCCAGCCCCGCGGGTGTCTCCTTGGGGCCAGGAGAGGAGCCGGCGCTGCCAGGCTGGCCGTCGGTGCCCGGCGCGGGTGGCGGCTCCGACTTTCCGCGCGTCTCGGGGCTCTGCGCGCCGACGGGGCAGCGACCGCCGACAGGTACGCGGCTTGTGGACCCGAGCCTTGCGCTCCGGGGCGTCTCCTTTTAGGGTGTTGGAGACGGAGGGGAGCCGCGCAGTGGGGCGCGGAGTGTATCGAGGAGGGCCCTGTCGGGCCGGGAGGAGGTGCTCGCCGGGCTCGGTGACCGGCCCTGAGGGACAGGGCCAGCTTGTTTTGACCGAGGACGGTAGCGCCGGCCGGTCTCTCCGCCCCTTTCCTCGGTCCTTGGGGCCCGGGCAGCGGGGTCCTGAGGGAGGAACTGGCAAAGGCAAGTAGCTCTGGATCTGTTTTCCTCTCCCAGCCTCCTTGCATAAGAGACAGGTGGTGCCAGTCAGGTTGGAGTACTTTCCTGAGGTAAAGACTTAACTTGTTGGGTGGCTGTTGCTCAATTTATTAAATTCGCTGATGAGACTGCATTAAGGTCGGGGTTGTTACTGCATGTGCATGTTTTCCTTGGTTCTCAACAATGCCCTCTTGTTAACTCACTTCGAGGGGGTAGAAGTAGCTATTTTATTTGAAGCCTGGTTCGAGGAGGAGGTGGTGGTGGCTGTGGCAGCGGCAGCCCTGTTTCCTTGGCACTTTGGGGAACCTGTGAGCGGGCGTGGTGAATGATCACAGGTCTATCCCTGGGCTCCTGAACTCACCCGTTTATAACAGTTTATGCCGTTCAGCAGGTGCTGCAGCCCCAGCCATCCTGGGGTGGAGAAAACTCCACACTGCCTGTAGGGAAGGAGGCAAAAGCTGAGCAGAGACAGTCTCACGAGGAGGAAGAACAATGCCTACCAATTGTTGCTTGTTTGTACTTTGGGGCTGCTGCCGCCTTTGCTTCTCTGGAAGGGCCTTGCTATCGTACTCATCTCGTTAAGAAGTCAGGTGCTCCCTGCTAATAGCTGTAGTAGCCCCGAGGAAATTATGTAGGTCATTGGAAAATAATTCCCGCTTAATCACCTTTATCCTGCCGATTAACAAGAGAAAATATTTCGTCTAGTTCATGTACCAAGCCTTCTGGTCAGGGTTACCTGTTCACCCTCCCGTTCACTAGGGCACCTGGTGCCAGACGGGATGTTGGCCTTGAAGCTGTCCAAACCTAGTGAACCACAGTCAGTGTACACATTTGGAGAACTTCAGTGGTGGTCTTCTTTGGGAAGAAATTGAACAGGAGATTTAGACCATAAATATATTCTTTAATAGGGCATGCGTGTTGGTTTTAGATAACTTTTCAGATAATGAAAGGTTGATTTCTCTTAGTCTCAGTTAATCCCTTACCAAAGGGCTCTTAAGAATTGTGTCTATGTCTACCCTGAAATAAATTAAGTTTGGGGTCTCATTTCTCAATTTGCTTATAAAGGAACAGGATTAAATTATACAGGCTGAGCAGGAAGGGCAAGAGAAAATGGGCATCACTGAAATAGTCTTAGGGAATGACTTACAGTGGTCTAATGATTTAGGCCCAGCTACCTAGCTAGCTTCCTTGCTTCTAAAATAGAGGCACAATATATTGTACCACTTTTAATGGAGACTTTTGAAGACCAGAAATGAAAAGTGTAATATTTTTACAGAGGCAAAGAAATGCTTTGTTGGAGACAGTCCTGGGCTCTGCCTTGCGGGTTTGGTTCAAAACATTTGCTCTGTGAAGTTCTTTTAGTAATTGGAAATTCATAGACAGTGACTACAAATCAAGTAGATGTGCAAGTATTATGCCGAAGTAAATAGAAGAAACTGATAAATGTTACCTTTGAGGAATGAAATAATATATCACTTCTAAAATGAAAATTTGATAAAGAATCTCCCTTCTGTCCACAAGAAGCACAATTACTTTCTCTGATCTCTGCTTAGACATTTGATCCTTACTCTGGGCATATTTATCTCATAGGACAGTCCGTAAGCTCACTGAAGATCTGGCCCCTTAGATTCTGTCCTCAAGCAATTGATATTTCACTCTTATGCCCGGTGACTTCTCTTAGTTTTTAGCCCAGGTAGAGGAACTGTGCTCAAGAGTGATTAAATAAAACTTCAATTATAGAGATTTCATAGTAAGGACAGTAGCAGAAATAGACAGTTCTGTGGTGCTTTATGATTAACAAAATGCTTTTACATTTGTGCCATGTGACTTTTTTTTTTTTTTTTTTTTTTTTTTGAGACAGAGTCTCTCTCTCTATAGTTCAAGCTGCCCTTGAAGTCACTATGTAACCCAGACTGGCCTTTAACTCTTGTAATCTTTCTGCCTCAGCCTCCCAAGTACTGAGATCAGTGCACTACCACACCCAGCCTTATGTCATGTGGTTTAAACATTTTGCAGTGAGTGCTTTTAGACTACACAGGAGGAAAACAGCTGATGTTCGGAGATAAAAAGGGACTTTTATGTGCATACTTTGCTCCTGTGTGTAGTGGACTCAGATCTGAATTCAAAATTTTAGATTTATAAGCTATGCTTTTAATTTTTTTCCTTTGCGATTTTGTGAAGTTTTTGGATATAAAATGAGATCTTATTTCTTATTAACCAAAATGTGAGCTCATAGGACAAATGTAGTATATGTAAATATGTGCATAAATGTATATGTTTATATAAATAAAGATATATAACATCTGAACAGTGTGGTTATCTAATAAAATTCAGCTGATTTGGATTATATTTGTGAGGGAAACCCTGGGAATGGTGTGACTGAACAATTTTCCAATAGATTAGTGAACTTTTGTTGATGTCTGAAATTGGGAAAAAACCCAGTAAATAGTAATAAAAGTATGTGGTTTACAAATATGGAAGTAATTGTTAGGAAAAAAAATAGAGGAATTAAAGGAACTTTATTGTTTTTTAAAGAGTGAAACTCAGGTGAGAAAAACAAAAGTGGTGTTTTTGGTTATGTATTTTATTTATTTTTTCAGAACCGGGGATTGAACTCAGGCCCTTGCACTTGCCAGGGAAGCGCTTATTCCACTGAGCCATCTCCCCAGCCCCTTGGTTATATATTTTATACTAGATAAAATTTTATTTTTTATACATATATTTTTATGAAGCCCTTTGACAGGAATAAAGATATGTTGCCAGAATTTTAGAGTAGTAGGGACCACAGAAATTGTTTATTCCCAGTTATTTCATTTTGCTGATGAGATTGAGGCATAGAAGTTCACAGGATTTGCCTGAGGTCTGTAAGTGGGGGGCCAGACCTCTCCCAGCACAGGTTCACACCCTTTTCCAGACAGGTAGAAAAATTTCCAATGCAAGTGATTCTCAGTTACCTTTCTAGGCAATTCTTTCTTCTGTTTAGCTTTTACAATGTTTGAATAAGGTACAGGACTATGGATTCAAACATAGTTATCTGTAATTCCTCATATTTTCATTATGAAAATGCTTAGAATGTCTTCAGAGTCTGAAGACTCTGTACTTTCTGTATATGCAGTTTTTCTGCAGCTATGTAGAAGTGTTGCTCGGTTGAGCAGCTGAATAAATACTGGAGGTTGGGCTGGGCTTTTGTGCTGAGAAGATTTTACCAGGGAGATACTAAAGGGACTTTGCCTGTACTGAATCTATGTGTGTTGCTTAATTTTGAGGTTCAGAGGGTAAGGATACTCATGACTTCCAAAACAGAAGCAGAGACAGGATAATATTTTAGAACTGTTACAAAACCCTAAGTTTTCCCTTTTCTTTATAAATAAGATTTTTCTTCTTTTCCAGTTATGTCACTAACTTAAAATGAAACTTGATGTTTTTATTTTTTATATTTTAGGGAAGGATCTACAGGGTTAAGGGTCTCACTACCAGATCGGACTTGTAGTGATCTGCCTGTTTACAGCTTCCCAAGAGCTGGGATTACAGGCATGTGCCACCATGCCCAGTCTTAATTGCTGTCTCAGTGTGCCCCTGGGGTGGGGCCAGCCTGGCAGAACTTGATGTTTTTGAGTGTATTTATAATACTATTCAAAATGCATACATTGCCATGAAGTAATATTGAAAGTTAAAATGAACCCTAATTTTATATTGTGGAGAAACTGCTACAAATTTGTATATTTTCACCTCAAGTTTTTTCATCAAGTAAAATATATTATTATTGTGGCTTTTAATAGCAAGTATGACCATAGCAACTTTGAACTTGGTACTGATTTACTTATGCAGCACTGGGGACTAAAGTTATTTCCTTGTGCATGCCAGCCTGGTACTCTACCACTCAGCTATCCCCAGCCCTTGGTTTTTATTTTTAACTTGACCAGTATATCTTGAAAATGTTTGCATGACCATGTGTACAGCTCCTTTTCACTTTCTTTTTCTTAAAATTGGTTGTGTAGTACTGCATTGTTATTTCTCTTGTTGGGAGTTTGGCTTTCCCACTTTTCATGTTGAGAAGAGTTTTTAGAGAACATCCTTGAAAGTATATCACTGTGCAGTTGTGTGTTTTTAGTAGGAAAGGCTTGTGAAAGAGTCATGGGTGTGAAAAGGTTGAAATTATGCTCTTACATTTCCTTCAATATTGTCCCTTCAGCCTTAGTTATATTAACTCCTTCTTTCTTAATGGGCAAGCCTGAAATTATCAATACATGACCCGGCGAGGTCAGAATAGTGCAAAATGCTGAGCTTCTAGGTGGTTGTCACCTCATTTCCTCACCTTTGAGGTTTCTTTTCATTTCAGTATTTTCCCCAAAGAGAAGGTGGTAATTGATAACAGCTATAAAAATATTCTGCAGTTGTTGGATGATCTGCTAATTAGCTCTTATAAAGCATAGGGGTTTTTTTAAACAGATTTTTTAAAAGAACATTATCCTTGCTAATTAGCTTTTATGAAGAATAGTTTTTTTTTTAAGCAGTTTAAGAACATTATTCTAGGACATGCCATTAAGGAGTTCAGAACATCCATTAAGTTTTCTTCAATGTGGAGAAAATATATTTGAGCTCTTCTACTTGTATTGTTATAGGTTACCTCTGTTGAAATATTGGTCATGCTCACATTTAGGGTCTTTGAGCTTTTGGAAGTGCCAGAGACTGATTTCTCTGTTCTGTGTGTAAACAG